TTGCAAATGGGGGTGTCTTGAGAACTTACAGATAACAGGATTTTGACAAGCATAATACAAAGGCAGATAGTAAGCTAATGATCTACATGGCTTAACATTTCAAGGTAGGGAATAAATTTAGATCCCAACATCAGAATTTATGAGGCGCCACAGAGGTTTCAGAGAGGGTTGTTATCTGGTCAGGGAAAGCCAGGCATGGGTGAGTTCAAGGCAAGGGCAGGCACTCCAAGCAAGTTTAGAAATTGCAGTAATTTATAGTAAAACAGAAATCAACTTTTCATGACTTTGTGGCGAGATGGCTACCAATCTTGAGATGAATTGGGCTGGGTTCATCAAATGCAACCTTCACCCAATGATTCCCAATAAAAACCAAGTGGGCAGCCTCATCTATATATTGAGAGGAGCTCTCTGGCCTCAGGAAGTCTGTGTAATGATCTCTTTGTAGTGTTTTCACTGATTTGAATCATAACAGAGCAAAGAAGGCATGACAGGATTTATTTGCATTTTATAAATGAAGAAACAAACTCAGAGGTCAAGTGGTCTGAAGTCAATAAGTGACCCACCAGAAACTGGAACTGAAGATTTCTGACTTCAGTAATTCAACATTCTATGGTCAATTCCTCTCTTGAGTGTACTGTGGGAATAATGCCAGAGCTGCTTCTCAAAACAGGTGTGCAAAGAAAAGTGTTTTCGTCTCATTCTTTTGGCAATCAAAGTAAATATTCACCAGACCCCTTGTGCACAGTATTATCAATCAGAAGTCTGTTATCAGGAACATAGTGCCATACATATGAGAGTATAAGAAGCAAAGAGAGGATACCAAAGCTTTTGCCAATTGCCCCTGTTCTGAGGGATTACTCAGTCCTGGCTACTGTGCTTAGAACCCAGAACAAAGAAGACAAGGACAGAATCCTTGTGCAGTCACATTCCCGTGGGTTCTTCAACAATGCACATGCTGCCAATAAGAGACTAGTGGACTGCATCTATATCAGTGTTTTGTGTGGTTACTCCAACTCTTGCACTTTTGCTTCATAGCCATCCCCATTCTGAAACAGTCTATTTACCTACTGCATCCTAACTGGGAACCTCTATAAGTGGAGTACTTCCCCAATAAATGAGATTAATTAAAGATGACCAATTGGTTTCAACTATAATTTGGGATAGTCTGGTAACTTTCTACCCCTTGTTGAGAGAGTACCTTATTGAATGCCTGCCATGTACCCAGAAATATATTGGCTGTTAGGTTTGTAGAGATTAAAAAAAAATGCCAAGGACCCATTAGTTTGTAGTTGTCCAAGTGTGAGTTAGTGAGGTGAGTCGGATCTAGTCTACAGTGTTGACTCTAATATGAGAGGATGTAAAGTTAAAACATATTTTTAAAGAAAAAAATAATGTGGATTAGTGACTGATTGGATATAATCTAGTCTACTAAATGAGAATGTTAAGTTTTGCAAACTGGTTGAGGAGAACTTGGGTACCTAGAGTAGAGGAGTCACTTCAAGACAACTTATATTTGCTTGGCAAAACTTTAGTCATGCTTATGAATTTTCTTCTAGGCCTGTGTGCACTTTGTTGTTGTTTTTAACTTGTAGTAACTTGTAGTAACTCCCTATTCTTTCATTAAAAAAATAAAAAAACCTTAATGATTTTTTAACTTGACATTCCAGACTCTTAGATACCTTTATGACTAACTCGATTACAATCCACTAAATGTCTGAAATGACCCAGCAATAGGCTGAAATACTATACTAACATTTAGTACACCAGATTCCTTGCAGTCCCCTAAACATGCTCTGCTATGCACGTTGTATGAAGCACATATAATTCTCTCTTCCTTTCATGAATTACACTTCCATCCACACCTCCACTTTGTTCCCTTGGTGATTGTCTATTCAACCCTCAAATCTTATTCTAAACATTTCTTCATAAAACTTTCCCAATTGGCTAGCATGCATGAGGCCCTGGGTTTGATCTGCAGTACCACAAAGACAAAAACAAAAACAACTAAAAAAAACCTTTCCTCAGGGCTGGGATTGTTGTTTAGGGGTAGAGCACTTACCTTGCAAGGTGAGGCACTGGTTTCGATCCTCAGCACCATGTAAAAATAAATAAACAAAATAAAGGTATTGTGTCCATCTACAACTAAAAAAAATATTAAAAACAAAACAAAACAAAACAAAAGGGGCTGGGGTTGTGGCTCAGA